GTGACCTATCTAAAGAAAACGCGGCTATTGGGAGTTCGATCCCCGCCCATGGGAATGGAGCACATTTCGTGGCCAGCTGTTTACCTCCTTTGGGAGAGCTCCCGCAGCGAAAGGGATTAGTCACTGCTGTCGGCGGTGGACACCCTTGGGTCTAACCAAAAAAAAAAAAAGAAAACGCGGCTACGTACAACGGTGCAGGCAGATTATTTTGGTCCCAAATCTAAATTTGGGCTAATGCGAAAATAACACGCACCAAAAATAGATTAGTAGGAATTAGTTGTAAAACCCCAAAAAATAAATAAATAAAAAAACTCAAAAATGGAAAAGAAAAAGAAAAAAGCAAGTAGCGGCAGTTGATACTTCAGTGACAACGGCCCCATGTATATAAATTCCTCAACGCGCAAATCATTTCTCCCTATTTCGTCGTCTCTCTACTCGCGTTCTCGTACGCAACGACACGCCGTACATGCGGCCGCATACTCGCCGATAAATCGCCGGAAAAGCTCCCGAGAAAATCAATCGGCGGCGGATTTGGTCCGGGAGTCCTAGGGTTCCGGCGAGTCGTTGAGATTGTGTGTGTCTTTGTGTGTGGGGTTTAATGGCGTCGGAAGACGTGAAGAGGACGAGCGAGACTGCGGTATCGACGATCGTGAACCTGGCGGAGGAGGCGAAGCTTGCGAGCGAAGGAGTGAAGGCGCCGACGAGCCATGCCTTACTGAGCATCGCCAAGTCTCTCGTCGCTGGCGGAGTCGCCGGTGGAGTGTGAGTTCGCAGCAAATGCTCTTTTTTTTTAATAAGTAAAATTATTTTCAAGTTTTGATTTTTCGTGGTTCTGTTTAGATATTGGTTTTCTTTTTGTTTCCCTGCTTTGGCTTCGTTTGTTTCGATGCTGAATTTGCTTTAGGTTTTGTTTATTTTCATTTTTCATTTGTGGCCTGAAAAATAAGTAGACTAAAAAGCAACCAAAAAACAAAACAAAAAAAAGAAAAAAAGAAAGAAAGAAAAAGAAGGCTTCTTTTTTTAAGTTCGTTTGTTTTTCATTGCCTGGAAGTGGAAAACATCTAGTTTTTAAATTTGCATGCAGTGGTTTATCTGTTTTTGGTACGTTTATCACTATTTGTTTTTTTCTTTGTTTCAATAGAAGCAATAATTTATTCAAAGCAAGAAATCAAGTGCAATCCTCTAGAAGAACATCCACAATGAAGTTTGGAGGCTCTTCAATGTTTGTTAGAAGTTTATCATAAGGAATCGTTTATATTTATGACCATATATTTCAGGACCAAAATACTTGTGGGAAATGAATGGCACACTTGAATTTTGTGTATGGAGATTGTGTGTCTTATAATCTCTATGTTGTTGATTAGCTGTAAGCACCAACTGCTAGTTGCTGGTGCTGTTATTTTCATTAGAGGTTCTTGAAATGGATGTTAGATTAGCAAGTGTGAAGGACGAGTTATATACCATGCATGAAAGTAGTTGTCTCCAGGAATTAGATAAATTTTTGTTGTGTCACATATAACATGAGGGATGTGGGTGAACTTCTAACCTTATATCTATCTCTTATTGACTACAACTACATGGTGCAGGTCACGAACTGCTGTTGCTCCATTGGAAAGATTAAAAATTTTGCTGCAGGTACTTCTCTTATTTGCACATATGGGAATTGGTATTTGGATCCTTAATCTCGCAAAGAGCAGATATAAGCTATGATTATTTTATAATTGTAATGTAATGCATGCTGGCATTGCCAACCCTCTGTTTTTTGGGGTATGGAGGGTGGAGTGCTAGTTGGGACCTAAGCAGTATGCATTTTGTATTATTTTAAGCTGGAGTAAATTGGATTTGCATCTTCTTCCATTATGCAGGTTCAAAATCCTCATAGCATTAAATACAGTGGGACAATTCAGGGCTTGAAGTATATATGGAGAACTGAGGGTCTCAGAGGCTTGTTTAAAGGCAATGGAACTAATTGTGCTCGCATAGTCCCAAATTCAGCAGTCAAATTCTTTAGCTATGAGGAAGCTTCTAAGTATGCTTCTCCAGTTCCTGCATCCTCTCTTTCTTCTCCCCCACATTTTTCAATATGATCACTGATCTGTATAGGCAGTTATCATCCGTTGATTCTCTTTCTTCCCCCACATTTTTAAATATGTTCACTGGTATTTGTTTGCAGTTATATTCATTCATTAGTTCATCTTTAGCATAAAGCTTTTTATAGATCAAATGTCTATTTTCATTTCATGTCAGCAGCGTTCTGATAAGTTCTTTACATCTCTATGTACTTTTTGTTAATAGGGGTATTCTATGGTTCTACCGGCGGCAAACTGGAAATGGTATGACCACCTTGAGTCTATTTCTTATGATAGTCAATTGCACATGACATTATAGGTAGTTTCATTTGGTATGATTCAATTCAATTACATTTTTCTTATCCTTATTGTGTAGCATGTCAATCATTACATAGAGGATCATAGTTCAGTCTTGATGGGGGTAAGTTCATGGTAATAGTTTGGTAAAGGTGTCATATTTATATCGCTTTATGCTTGGGTTAGCAAACCATCCCTTTTTTGGTTTATGGTGTTCACCTAGAGAAGCACTGTAAATTGATTTATGTGATTGCTTTGGCTGAGTTCATTCAGTCTGTGTTTGTTTGTTTAAGCCCTGATTCGGTCAAATTTGGATCAGTGTGTGCTCTATGTGATCAATTTTTTTCCTATTGTATTTGTATGTCTTCTGGGTCCAGTTTTGGGAGGAGACAGAACAGTAATATAGGTATGACAGTTGTGGCTTTGATGGATTATATTTGCTCTATTTCTCCATCTCTTGCAGAAGATGCTCAACTCACACCTCTTTTACGCCTTGGAGCTGGTGCTTGTGCTGGAATTATTGCCATGTCAGCAACTTACCCTATGGACATGGTACGAGGTCGTCTAACTGTCCAGGTATCTTTTGGAGATTTAATTTAAGAGATTTTTTCCTGTGAATGAGGCACTTTTTACTATACATTCACTTTGATGGCTTAAATTTGTTTGAACTTTATTTATTTAGACAGAAAGGTCTCCTCGGCAGTATAGGGGAATCGCTCATGCTCTTTCAACTGTTTTTCGGGAAGAAGGCCCCCGGGCTCTGTACAGAGGCTGGCTACCTTCTGTCATAGGAGTTGTAAGTGGTGTTTGCTTATTTCTGTATTCTCTATAGTGCTAACAATAAATTGAAACCTCTTATCAATTTTTCAATTCATTCATTACTCATTTGCGTTGTCGATTCAATCATTAATCATTTCTATTGTCGAAGTCTGAACTTCGATGACCGTAGGTGATAGGTTTCATTCTGATGGGATATTTTTTTTCTAGGGTGTATTTGTTTGCTAATTTATTATGTATATCTCTCTTTTGTTCCGTGAGTTAAGACTTTTTTCTAATTTTTGTATGAGATTTCTTAATGTTTTTATTTTGTTAACAGGTACCTTATGTTGGTCTCAATTTTGCTGTTTATGAATCTCTGAAAGACTGGTTGATCAAAACTAGACCTTTTGGTTTAGTTGAGGACTCTGAGTTGAGTGTAACAACAAGGCTGGCATGTGGGGCCGCTGCTGGAACTGTTGGCCAGACAGTTGCTTACCCTCTTGATGTCATCCGGAGAAGGATGCAGATGGTAGGCTGGAAGGATGCTGCTTCGGTTGTCGTTGGTGATGGGAAGAGCAAGGCACCCCTCGAATATACTGGAATGGTTGATGCATTCAGGAAAACAGTCCGTCATGAGGGGTTTGGAGCACTGTACAAGGGTTTGGTCCCTAATTCTGTTAAGGTCAGTGTTTCTTTCCCCCGTAAATTTTCTTTTTGTTAAAGGGGAATTTATGCCGCATTACATTTGGACCCATATATTATGTTTTCTGGAAACATTATAATGGTATATTGTCGTTCTTTTAGGTGGTGCCGTCCATAGCAATTGCGTTTGTCACATACGAGGTAGTGAAGGACGTTCTTGGAGTTGAGATGAGGATATCTGACTAAAAGCTAAGAGAACCTTGAGTTGAGCCACATGTTTAGTGTTTGCTCGTAATTTCAGAAGTGAAACGATTAGTGGACTGCTAGGAGAAGGTAAAATGTCAGGATTTTTTAATAAGTAGCAGGAAGTTTAGAAATAGCCCTATCCTATGTTGATACTCCTTCCCATCCCGTCAATACACATATCTGTCATCAGCCAAAGGCCTATAGTTTTAGCTATCCTATTATTCTTATGCTCTTGGCATTGTGACAATAAGTATTTTGTTTCAAGGAAACGATGCATTTTATTTCTATGGATTTCAGGAGAATAAGTATCAAATCAATTAATTGCTCAGTTTTTTTAAATTTATTTATTTTAATTCAATATTCTGCCTCCTGTTTTGTGAGGAATGAATTGAATTTTGGACAATGTAATGGTGCCATGAACTTATGGTTTATGTTATTTAAGTGTTTCCACATTAATGTTCTCTCTTTTAAAGTTTGATTATTTTGTGCAAGTCAACTTTCAATATTTACATTTAAAGATAACGAGCTTGTTTCATATGCGGTGCACGGGGGTATCCCAAGCCCATTGGCTTAGGATAGCACCAAAGTGGTATCCCTGGTATAGGCAAGTCTTTCTCGTACGCATGAGTCCCTGCTTTTATATTATCGGCCACCTGGCCGTTTGATGAATCCAAAAAAATCATTATTTTTCTTAAGATTTAGTAACAGTTGACGCAAATAAGTTAAAACTTAATGATAAATTCAAATCTTATTTTAATCCGCAAATCCAAATGCAACATTACGGTTTGCACTTTCACAATAAGAAAAAAATTAAAAATCTGAAAAGACATCTTTTGATTATTAGCAATACTTCTTGGTTTATGATATTTCATACAATGATACTAACAAAATTGAAGGTACCAAAAGTTTCTGAACTTTTAGACATCTTTTCTTCTTCCTCCTCCTTTTTTTTTGTTTTTTTTTTTCTCATATTTCACACTATAAAAGTGTTCGAATAAAAAAAGGGAGCCATCTGCATTTTATACATCTGCATTAATGGACGAGAAAAAAGCAGCAGCAAAATTTACAACCAAATTCATGCGCATACTTACTGATACGCTCAAGCTCTACCTAAAATGTTTGATCAACACTAGCCTTCCAAAAAAAAAAAAGAATCAATCAAGAAAAAAAAAATTACACGATGCAACAGACTAAAATGGTCATACTGCAATGGAAAGGGAAAAAAAAGATAATTATCCCCAAGGACGAGGAAACTAAGCCCTCCTCTGGCCTCTTGCAGCAGTCATCTTTGAGAGCACTTCCTTGAGATCATCATACCGGCTTCGGTGATACTCGATCCATATGCACAGCTGCCTTATGGCTTCCCTCTTCTCCTCCGCCAATCCTAGTAAGCCCTCATTTTTCTCTCCCACCGTCTTCTCCAAGTCCTCTACCGTCCTCTCAAGTTGTTTCACAGCTTTGATCAGACCCCCCTTCTCCACTTCCTCCCCGCTTGCAGTTGCCCTCAACTTCTCAACCTGCTCTCTGAACACCAATGCTTCTTCTTTCTTACCACGCAGTTGTTCGATTAGGTCCCCTACCTCCTCCTTCAACTTCACTCTTTCACCATTTGTTTCCGCAACCCAGTTCTTTGCAGTTTGAAGCTCCCTTGTTGTTCCTAGAATACACTTCTCATACTTTGCATAGTCATCCAAAAATTTCTTGATCACAGATTCCAATACAGTCAAAGAACTGTTCACATTTTCTGAGATATGCGTGATGTTTCTTTGATAGGCTTCATTGTTTGCAGAAATTGTACCAGACAATGTAGCAATTCTGTCTTCAAGTGCTCTTTGTTCTTCCTGGAACTTTTGTTCTGCGCGTCTGAAGCTCTCTTCCTTCTCAGCCAATAACTGCTCTGTAACACGGAGCTTCTGGTTTGACAACCGCAGCTTAACTTCAGTATTCCGGGAATTATCAACCAAAGAACTAAGCTCGTCCCCTTTTTCTTCAAGATCTCTTTTCAGGTCTTCAGTTGCTTGTTCCAAATCAGCTATTATCTGATCTTTCGATTCAACTTTTGTACTGAATTCTAGCACCATTTGCTCAATTTTCCTTTCTGCAGAGTCTCGATTGACCTTGCTGTCCTGAAACTGACTTTCAAGCTGTTTATATTCCTCATTTAACTTCTTGTATGAATCCTCCCGTTCATTCAGCAGTCTCTGATGATCGGTGATCTTGCTCGTTAACTCCGCTTTTTCATTTTCCAATAGCGTCAGGCTCTCTGAATGTTCTTGTTTCTCCTTCTCAAATTGCAACTCTATCTGCTTCTTCTGGGTCTGGAATGAATCCAAATCCTGTTGTAGACTGTTAACCTGTGACACAAAGGCTTCTATTTGAGCAGATGCATCGTTCACAGAACTTTCATGTTTCTCCCGGAGAGAGGAGAACTCGACCTCCATTTGCGTTAATTTCTTCTCAAATTCAGAAATTTGATCCTTTAGCTCCACAATTTCTGCTCTCAACTGATCGTTCTCAAGGACTTTAGTTCTTATCTCCTCTTCAAGTTCACTTTTGTGGTTGTGTATCGAGTCCACCTTTATCTCAATGTCTCTCTTTTCTGCCGTCAAACTCTCTTTCTCTTCCACAATCCTCTGATGATCCGTTATCTTGTTTGTTATCTCCTCTTTCAGATTTTGTATCTGTATCAAGTACTCTGAAGTTTCTTGAGTTTTATTCTCAATCTGCACTTGCAATTCAGTTTTCTGGCTGAGTAGGGACTCCAATTCTTGCTGCAATACATTTAGTTGTTCCATTAAGCCCTTGACCTGAGTTGATGCTTCATCACCTTTACATACTATCTGTTTCTCCAATTCAACTTTCTGGGCACGCAAAGAATCTATGTCAGCTAGCAGATTACTGATCTGTGCTGCCAAATCTGCTATTCTAGATGATGATTCATTATTGCTGTCCTCAAGTTTCTTTGTGAGAGCAGAAAGTTCAGCTTCTCTGTCTTCTGATATCAATTCAAGCTCTGAAACTCGGGCATGTAGTCCTGCATTCTCCTCTCCCAGTTGTTTTGCTTCAGTTTCTTTGCTCTCAATCTCTACTTCCAAATCACTTTTCTGATGTCGCAAAGATTCCAGCTCCAGTTCCAGCCCCGAAACTTTCTCCTCTAATCCCTTTATTTGAGCCAATGTTTCATTCTCATGCAGTTTGTGCATCTCAGACAGAGTTAAATATTCCTTTTCCTTGAGACCCAGTTGCTCATTTAGCCGACTATATTCAGTATTGCTGTCCTCAAGTTTCTTTGTGAGAACAGAAAGTTCAGCTTCTCTCTCTTCTAATATCGATTCAAGTTTTGAAATTTGGGCTTGTAATCTTGCATTCTCTTCTTCTAGTTGTTGTACTTGAGTTTCTTTGTTCTCAAGTTTCTCCTTCAGCTGAATAGATTCACTATTCTTATCCTCAAGTTCTTTTGTTAGAGCAGACAGTTCAGCTGCTCTCTCATTTGATACTGATTCAAGTTCTGAAATTCGGATTTGTAGTCCTGTGTTTTCCTCTTCCAGTTGTTTAACTTCAGTTTCTTTGCTCTCAATCTTCACTTCCATGTCTCTTTTCTGACCTCGCAAAGATTCTAGTTCCAGTTCCAGCCCCAAAACTGTAGCCTGTAATGCCTTTATTTGAGCCGAGGTTTCGTTCTCATGCAGCTCATGCCTCTCAGACAGTGTTGAATATTCCTTTTCCTTGAGACCCAGTTGCTCGTTTAGCCGACTACATTCAGTATTGCTGTCCTCAAGTTTCTTTGTGAGAGCAGAAAGTTCAGCTTCTCTCCCTTCTAATGTCGATTCAAGTTTTGAAATTTGGGCTTGTAATCCTGCATTCTCTTCTTCTAGTTGTTTTACTTGAGTTTCTTTGTTCTCAAGCTTCACTTCTATACCTCTTTTCTGACCTCGCAAAGATTCCAACTCCAGTTCCAGCCCTGTCACTTGGGCCTCCAATCCGTTTATTTGAGCCAATGTCTTATTCTCATACAGCTCATGCATCTCAGACAGAGTTGAATACTCCTTTTCCGTCTGACCCAACTTCTCCTTTAGCTGAATAGATTCGCTATTGTTATCCTCAAGTTCTTTTGTGAGAGCAGACAGTTCAGCTGCTCTCTCATTTGATACTGATTCAAGTTCTGAAATTCTGACTTGTAGTCCTGCGTTTTCCTCTTCCAGTTGTTTAACTTCAGTTTCTTTGCTCTCAATCTTCACTTCCATGTCTCTTTTCTGACCTCGCAAAGATTCTAGTTCCAGTTCCAGCCCTGTCACTGTAGCCTGTAATCCCTTTATTTGAGCCGAGGTTTTGTTCTCATGCAGCTCATGCCTCTCAGACAGAGTTGAATATTCGTTTTCTTTCTGACCCAATTTCTCCTTTAGTTGACTAGATTCAACCGTGAGTTCTTGTATCATGTTCTGTGCCTGTTGAATTTCATTTGACATTTCCAAAATTTTCAAGGTCTCTTCCTCCTTAGCTTTGCTCACATCTGACACCTGCTGTTCTGCAGATTCCAGCTGCTGCTTCAAATTGGAGACTTCCCCTTGAACGGATTCTAGTTCTTGCTCAAGGGTTACTTTTTCATCTTTCAGCTGATCAACCATGGTTCTTAACTCTGCTGTAATATTTTCTCCATCCTCTATCCTTCTCAGAGCAGTCTCTTTCTCCTGAATCAAGTTATCTCTCTCTCTTTCCACATTTTCTACTCTTTGATTCAGTTCAGCTTCTATCTTTCCACCAGCTTCCAGTTTTTTATTTAGTTCATTATTCCCAGCCAAAAGTTGAGATTTTTCAACATCTAACCTTTCAGCTTCAGTCTTCAAGTCTCTGGCAATTTTTTCTGTTTCTTCTATCTTGGTCAAAGCCGCCTCATATTCTAAGTTTAAAGCTTCCTTCTCCTCACTTGTAGCTGTCAATTTCCTCTTCAGGTCAGCAACTTCTAGATGTGCTGATTCGAGTTCATGTTTGATCCCATCAGTTTTCTGAAAGTCACTTTCCAACAGTCCATTTTTACCGCTTTTGTCATTTGAAGAATACTCTGAATCTGAGTCTGAGCTTGATGAAGATGAGCTGTCCTTTTCTTGTTTGCCATTAACTTTTTTCTTTAGCACTCCAGTTAGATGATCATATTGTGCATAGAGTGATTGGTACTCTTTGTGGAAATCCTCAATTAGCTCAACAAGAGGTTCCTTTTTGGAGTTCTCTACTGAGATGGCATCTTTTTCTTCAAGATCTTCATCTTTTAGAAGCTTCAATATTTTATTCACCTTGTCATCAATACCTGCAATCAAACAAAAAATTCTTAAATTTCCAATTTGTTCGATCGTATGAGATGCAAGATCAAAACATGTAATCATATTGAAGTTCATTTCAAAATTGCATTCAATAGTTCCTGTAATGTCATCATCTCAAAGCCTTAAGAAGAATTCTACAAGAAGGTTTACCTATTTTAGTTCCTTTCAGCTCTTCATGCTTCTCTGAATTGATGTGACTTCCAAACAAGGACTTAATGGATTCCCTCAAGCGGTGCTTTGTCATCACTTCAATTTCCAAACTTCCCTACCAGGTGTGAGTTAAGATGGAGCAATATCCATCTCCAGCTCAAAGTCTGAAACACAAGAAAACGATCTCCTTTTGAATCATAGCAGAAGCATAAGCCCATTTTAATTTAAAAATAAACCTAACTACCCCAAGACTACGTGATATAACATGATGATGAAGGTCAACTCCTGAGATGAAAATAGATAGTGTATTTCAACGACTGAAAGATTACCATAA